AACAACACGCCGCCTAAAAGACATGAGGTGGCCTCTAAACCTTCTCTGTACACCAGCGCTGAAAAGCCATCCCCTTTGATGTGTACAGAACTGTGGTAGATGCAGCACGTGAATCTTGAATTGTGCACACTATCTCCTGAGGGAGACCCATCCTCTAAGTGGGACCGCTCAGCGGTCAGACCCACAGGTGTTGACCTATTTCTGGGTAACTCTTGGTCGCTCCTCCTGCCTGAAGGAGAGCATCCTCCCTCCACGACAGTTCCACGGCGACCCGACAACAGACGTTGCAGGCCTGGGAACCATGGTGCGTTCACACGCCGGGAGCCACCAGGAGAGCTGTCAATCCCTCCTCCTGAACTCGGTTCAGGAACCATAAAAAACAAGAGGAGGTGGGGGAAAAGAAACGCGTATAAAAGCGTTTTGGGCCACCGGCTGTGAGCAAATGCGTCCCCCCCCAGCGATGGGTCGTCTCGCGGGCTCAGGGAAAACCATAGTTGACACTGAGCGTTCTTCTCGCGTCGCAAACAGGTCCACAGCTGTTTTGCCAACTTCTGCTGCGTCTGAAAAACATCAGGTCTGGATGGAGGGTCCGGTCCACGTGACGTGGACCGCCCCTGGACGTCACATCTGCCCCTCTGTTCAGAACACCGGATATGTAAACCGCTCTAATAAAGAGCAGGTTTTGATTAACCCAACACAGTAGCTTTCGCACAATGTGTAACATCTGGGCTGAACGCACACCCTTGATGGTTATGTACGCAGCAGTCATCATGTTGTCTGTGTGAATCAACACGTGTTGATTCTGTAGCACGGGAGCAAAGTGTTGAATCACATTCAGTGCTGTGCGACACTCCAAAACATTGATGTGGGCTGATGTGTAGTGGGGCCACAGCGCCCCTACTGCTTGAGATAGGCATGTCCCCCCCCCCCCCAGCCTGACAGCAACGTGTCCGTGAAGACTGACCCGTGACGTGGGTCTGCTGAGGGGGACTCCCTCTGACAGAAAACAAGGTGTTTCCCCAGAGTCGGAGGTCTGCTTCCACAGAGGAAGGGACAATAATCATTCGTCGTTTGTTTTACTGGATCCACATGCAGACGTGCAAAACACCTCTGGAGGCGTCTCATGTGAAACAAACCAGTGGAAAACACTGTGTGAGTGACATCATTTCCAACAGCTTCATGACGGAGACAGCTGTTATAACTTGCCAGGTCTTACGTGGCTGAGTTGACTTTTTAAAAAGTGTCGAATCTAGTTTGTGATAAAAGAGTTTTCATGGTGGTTGAATTTAATTCCACTCCCAGAAACAAATGTCTGGGCCGGAAAAATCGAGCTTCCTTCCAATTTATGGCGAAGCCCAGATTTAACAGGTGTGATGTCAACACCTGATCCTGCATCAGCGCCTCCTGTCTGAATTGACAGGAGCAGCAGATCATCCAGGTAAAACAAAAACTCTCGTCTCTGTGTTAGGATGATCGGTATGCGTTCTCTGGATGTTAAACAACAGATCCAAGAACGGTCTCACCCCTCCGATCCGTGAGTAAAAACCTTGTGTTTTCTCTCCCTTGGGGAACTCTGTAGATTACTTTTATCAGAAAACACTTGGATTTCTGCATTTAGGGATGAGATTTAGTCTGATGATGACGGGGCCGTTTTTTATAACTCCTCTGAATGGAGGGGTTCGGGTTGCAAACTGTAACTTGTACCATTTGCATAAAACCTTGTCCATCCATCTGAAAAACGGCGAGCATGTTTTAGCCACTCTACGTAACGTTCGTATGGTGAACGTGCGTTAAGTGATGTGTCATGTTTTGTACGGCTGTCAGCCGTCCGCCCCTCAACCGCCGTCATGCGTCGCGGGAATGTTTTCTGTGTGATCCCGGGCGAGACTTGTGCTGAGGCGAAGCGTGTGACAGCTGATGACGCGGTGGGGCTGCGCGTTTGACGTCGCTGTGCGAACGTTGAAAAGGCGGAGGGCGTGACTTCGTTTACGCCGTGCTGTTGGAGTGAAGGCTGCTAGCCCCGCGGGAGCACCTGTTGTTCTCTGGAGGGACGCGCGCCACTCTCGCTGGAGGGGCGCGCGCTGGAGGGAGGCGGGACTCATTACCGGGTTCTTCAGCTGCTTCACGTTTAGCTGCGGTGAGCTGCCGAAAGCTGAGACGCGGTGGTGACGGCTGCCCGCGTTGATTCGTCGAGACGGGTGTCGTTTCTTGTGAGAGAGAAGGGCCCCCACCCGAACCAGCCTGCGGACCACATTTATACCGATGTGAGCTGGTTAGCGCCGGCAGCTGTGTGTGTGCGCCAGCATCAACGCAGCGCCGTTGGATGGAGGCTGTTCATCTTAGTGATCGACTCGTCATGTCAAGAGCGGCGGTGAGTTAAAATCCTGTTTAAGGACACCGGCTCATGTGGAGGCTGTTCCATCCCACGAGTGCGAGTTGACACCGCTTGAGTGAGGATCGTGCAGTTCTAGTTGGTAATGAGTTATTTTCGCTTACCGTTGTGCCGTGATCGACTCGTCATGTCTAGAGCGACGGTGAGTTTAAAAACCTTTAATTAAGGACACCGGCTCATGTGTGGAGGCTGTTCTGTGATCGACTCGTCATGTCTTAGAGCGACGGTGAGTTTAAAAACCTTTATTTAAGGACACCGGCTCGTGTGTGGGGCTGTTCCATCCCACGAGTGCGAGTTGACATCGCTTGGGTGAAAAACGTGCAGCCCGGGATTATAACGAGTTATTTTCACTTACCATCGTGCCCTGTAAGCGACTAGTAATGTCTTGGAGCGGCGGTGAGTTTAAAAAGCCTTATAAAGGACACCGGCTCTTATGTGTGCGGCCGCTGTGAGCTCATCCGGGCTTACAGACTGGCTAAAAAACAGACACTTTGATCATTAATGATGATTTATTTCAACTTTCGTGTCACTTTTACACACACCCTCCGGAGACCGTCATTTTGAGAGCTTTCTCTCTCATGAGCTCTGCGATTGTTTGCCCAGAGCGCTGTCTTGCAGGCGAACTCTGGGGAAACGCTGAGCTGCAGGCTGCCGGAGTGAAGAGGGCTGGATTCTGACGGGCGGGGCTGGTGGTGGAACTCAGCGAGAGCCGCGGCCGTGGAAAAGTCTAAGCTTGCTCGCGACGGTCCCTCCAGCGGGACGGGGTGGGCCGCGCGGCTTGATGAGGTGGCGCACAGCTTCTGGCACCTCCTCCGACTTTCACTTCGCCAGCATGGTTTGAAGCTGCTCTGAACAGCGCGTCCGCGATGGGCTTCATCAGGTCTTGTGCAGATTCTCCGGCAGCGAGGGGAGTAACGAAGCCAGGTGGGTCGTTGGATCATCGTCCTCCGCGCTGCAGTCCTCGACAGGCAAACCGTGGGAGAGGCACACATGTTGAGCTGGCGTCAGCTGCCTTACAGAGGGAGTTCTTTGTCTCCAAGGCAGGTCTGCGGCCTTCAATCCCTTGGACATGCTATATGCTAGCAGCGCACGTTGTTGCTAACTGCGGCTGCCTGAAAACACATTGGTGGGCTCGATTTGAGAGCGTGTTCGCCGTCTGGTTCGTGTTCCTCCGGAGGGACGGGACGCTGCTCCGACCTGGGCAGCTTCGCTCCGGAAGCTTCCGCGAGGCTTGGCTCCAGGGGGGGTTACCGAGGAATAGCCCCGCTCGGTGAATCCCTCGACTCTGGTGATGGGAGCGGACTGGGGACCGACTCCTCTAATCTACCAGGAAAGAACCGTCTGCGGCCTCGCCCGTGGAACGTCCTGTTGGAGCGCGAGGCCGTATGGATCAAGACGGTGAGCCACAGTGGAGCCCAGTGAAAAATAACCTTTCCGCCGATCATCCGAACTGGCGGGAAAAGGCGAGGGACGTAGAAAAAAAGGGGTCCCTTCATGTCAGCCTCCTCCCGGGTTCCGCCGGGCAACCCCTGAGGGCGCTGTCGGCCGGGAGCGGTGTGATCGCCGATGCGAAACGAGGTGGGATGGGGTGAGCATTCACTCAGCCCCCCTCCACCTACACTACGCTCCCCAGGAGGGAATGAGCAGCGGGGGCTGCAGCTGAGCACGCCTTGCCCCGGAGGAACCATCCGGTTCGCCCCGAGGGTCGGCGATAAGGGAAAAAACACAAGATGGCGTTGTCCAGCGTGTAGTGACCTGTCACTGGGAAATGTTCCTCGACGCTTACCTTGGAATAAGACTGCTGTCATCTTCTCCTCGGGGAGGAGAACTCACCGGACGACCGGAGGTCAACTGCCGGGCCAAGCATCCTTCACAAGGTTGGTCATTTACACAATTTATCTTCTTTGTTCTTCTGACAGTGCTATATTAGCTCGCTGAAGAAAAAATGGGAGCCGATTTCCCGCTCTTAACGTAATTTATACGGACCGGGTGGGGCCCACACAGCAGGTGGGCGTGGACTAAATTTTTTCAGTGCTTATGCTCTGCATAACAGGATAAACCCATCAGCGACAGCCTTAAAGGGCGAAGCCTATATGAAATAGAACTGCGGGATGATAAATGCGCCGAAAAACTTACAGAAGAAAAATGGATCACAATCCTGAGCGTTCACATCAGTTATTTCCCCTTGAACTGTGTTTACCTGAACCAAGAGGAGTAAAACATTAAGGAGCCTTTTAAATAAGATGTTTTTATGAAGCTGACATTCTATGTTAGCAGAAACTGTTTTTACACATTGAACTGGTTTGTGGTGAAAAACTGTTCCAACAGTGAGAGACAGTCCAATGTTTACTCCTTTAAGCTGTTTGTAGACGTGCTGGCTGAAATCTTCACCACAGCCCCACGCTGTCGTTTAAACAGAGAAATGACTGACTTCCTTTACTCTACTAACCCCGACCTATGAGTGTGCATTCACCTCTGCATGCACGGTGTGTGCACGGGCCCCTGAGAGTGCCTCTAGGTTTCTCTTTGAACTGCTCGTGTTGCTGATCAGAGCTGCAGCACATCAGCACGATCTGTTTATTGTTGAACCCCTTTCTGTTGTGTTTAGGTGCAGGGCATGTCGTTCATCGCTGCTGTGCTCATCCTGAATCTGGACACGGCCGACTCCTTCATAGCTTTTGCCAACCTGCTCAACAAGCCCTGTCAGATGGCGTTCTTCAGAGTGGACCACAGCCTCGTCAGTACACACGCACACTTCAGTCACCGCTTTGTCTGACCTGTTAAACACAACGTTGACTGTAAACACTTGGTACTACGTTTAGTGTTAAACTATGGGACTGGGTAAAAAAACAAACTGCTGACATGTTAGTGCCAAAGGTTATACAACCACTCATTACCTTCTAATTAATACAGCGTTCTGAATGTTGCACAAACACAAATAAAGTTGTAAATCAGTCACTGTAGCAAGTTTTGAAGAGCATTTCTATGCAAATTGCCTTTTTTTTTATTTTATTTTAAGTGGGGGAAAAAAATACACATTTTAACTTTTTAGAAAATTTATACAAAAGAAAATTCCCCTTCATTGATAATTCATTTTATTTTATTTCATCAAATCTTAAATTGCATTCAAGTTGGGGACCACCTAGAAAGGCAGCCACCTATTATTATCCACCTGAAAAGGGTCTTACGCTTCTATGAACTTTAATGCGGTCCAAACCGCAACATGTACCCCCACAAATGTTATATCAGAACGACCGGCTCGGCGCCGTGACGTGTGCTGTTACTTTATTGGCATTTCGAGTTACCGTGGTGATGTAATTTGCAAACAAAGACGCCATTTTTCTCATTAAAAAACACCATCAGAACACTTACCAGCTCACCTGCCACTGCGAGGTCACATGACCTACAGTGGTCTGGTCTCTGAACAAAACACTGATTAACTTTTGGAGTGACAGGGCAGCCAACTCGGGACCCGAAGGTCCCAGGTTCGATTCCCAGTCGTCGCACAGCTCGTGGTGTCTCTGAGCAGGATGCCCTATCCCCAGTTGCTACCCGGGCACTTTCCATAACTGCCCACTGCTCCACCTGGTGGTGAATGGGTTAAAAGCAGAGAGCCAATTTCACCATTGTATGGGAACATACAATGGTGACAACACGTTATTATTTTGGATCAAGATGGCTGCTACAGCTACCTCAGAAAACTCTAAATTGACTATAACTCAGCCACTCTTTGAGATATTGAGCTGAAATTTGGTGTGTCTGTAGATGAGAACGAGTTGTAATACATTCCTAGTGCAAATAAATAATCCAAGATGGCCACCTTAGCTAAAAGGGAAGAATACGATAACTCAGCTATTTTAAAAGATATAGAGCTGAAATTTGGTGTGGTGGTACCTGACAGCGATGCTCAAGTTCAAGTTTATTGTCATTCACATCACATGTGGTACATGAGGTGGAAGGAAATTCTGTACTCAGGGTCCCAGTTACATCCAAAAATAGCAAAAATATAAAGTATAAAAAGAAACATTATATAAGGATCTAAGATATACACAAAGATATACGCTAAACGAATGCCAAATGGTAGGCTTTGATTACAAATGAAAAATCCAAGATGGCCGTCTGAGTTAAAAGGAAAAATATTATAAATCAGCCATTTTTACAGATATTGAGCTGAAATTTGGTGTGGTGGTCACTGAGAGCAATGCTCAATAAATATTGCATTCTAATAAAATTATCCAAGATGGCCACCATAGCTTAAAAGAAAAGAAAAAAAGACGAACTCACTGATATATATAATTTTATTTATTTATTTATTTATTTATTTATTTATTTTTGCCATATTCATCTGAAATTTGGTATTGTGGTAGCTGAGAGCAAACTCCCAACACATAGTACTGTCAAATCAAATTTTTAAAATGGACGCCACGTGACAGTCCCTGTCAAAGTTTCTCCAAAAACTTTCTAGTATTCATTCGTACTGTTACAAAGTCTCAGTAACGTAGAAATTAAAAGATTGTTCTTGTTTTAACTTGTTTTGTTTTACAATCTGAGCTCTGATCCAAGCTGCATTAGAGCAGCATCAGGATTCTTGTTCTGTCCTTTGAAACCTCACTCCACTCTGTGGTGTAATCATCCTCTCTGCGGCCTGTTTACATTCAGCTCTTTCATTTCTACCAGTGACAACACTGTACTTTGTTTTTCTAACATCTCTCACTCTTCTTCCAGATGTTGACGTACTTTGAAGCTTTTGAAGTGTTCTTTGAAGAAAATTTACCAAAGCTCTTTGCACATTTCAAGAAAAACAACCTGACCCCTGATATTTACTTAATTGACTGGTGAGTTTCTCTGCCTCTTTTTCGCTTTACTTACATTTTATTTAGTTTTTATGCAGCAATAACTTTCTGTGCAGGACATTACTAAGCTAACACTAAAATGCTCTAAATATGGCCACTCCGCTCTTGACCTTTGTGCCATTAGAAGTCAAGAGCAGAGCAGGCGCATGAAGCTGTGGATGTCTCGTTGTCCTCCTACAATCTACCGTATTTTCTGCCGTACACGTCGCACCACTCTATAAGTTGCATCAGTCCAAATTTGTCTAAAAAAGTGGAAAAATCCATAAATGCATCACTTCACTGTATATGTCACATCCATTATGCGTCACCACTGACAGCCCGGAAATGTGGGTCAGTGTTGTGCCAGAAATCAATTGGCTGCCAAATGGCGGCCGCGGGAGCGTCCACGGGAGGACTTTAGCAAGAATTTAACAAGATTAACACTTAAAAACAATTATTTGTTTGCTCGAAATTATAGTAAAGGTGTGTCTCAGTCTAACTTTTCCTTAATAAATGCACTTTGACGGTCAAATCAGCTGCATTTTCAAAACCCGGTTTGCGTAAGTGAGCACGTGCAGAGGGACGAGCCACTGTTCATTTCTTCAAAATTTAACAAGATAAACACTTAAAAACAATTATTTGTTTGCTCGACTTTATAGTAAAGGGTCTCAGTCTAATGTTTGCGTCAAAAGTATTCTCTGCCTCGATGCTCCAGGAGCGCGCAGAGGGAGGAACAAAAAAGGAGAAATGCTGCTTGTTCTAAATTTAACAAGATAACCACCTAAAAACAATTTTGTTTTTTACTCTTAACAAAGTCAGAGTCTAAAGCCATCCCAAGATTTGTAACAGACTGTTTTAGATATGGATCAAGAGAGTCGAGGTTAACAGGAACAGACAGCGGTTGAGCTAGGGCTCCTACTCTGCTCCTGTTTCCTGAAATATCTTACAAAAAGATCTGAAGCTCTCGACCTTGACCTCTCTAAGTGACTTTAAGAATCTGTTGGACTTCTGGCAAGGACCAATGCAGACATGTTCCTGTTTTTAGTTTTCTACATTCACCTTATAATCTAGCTGTTTTTGTTACTTTTTTGCCATCTTATTTGTATTAAAAAAAATTATATTTTTTTCATTCATTCAACCTTTATTTAGACAGGTAAATCCCATTGAGCCTCGAGGACTCATTTACAAGAGAGACCTGATTTCAACAAAGAATGATGACAACAGTGAACAGCGACAACATTAAACAGTTATGAAAAGTCATAATACAGTTTTTTGTTTTTTTTTAAAATAGGATGGCTAAAAGAAAAAGGTCAGTCATCCAGGACATAAAAAATAAGAGAAAAAACTCTAACGTGCAGAACTCCAAGCATTAACTGCATGACACTGGTATACCTCACGGACGTAAAAAATGAAATGTAGCATGTTTGTTCATGCTGCAGTCGTTTATGCAAAACATTGACTATATATCAGATTTAGTAGCTCATAAGAACTTGGTTGGATTAGAAAATAATCAAGATTTGCCATGTTTGGGTTGTCGTTTATGGGCAGAATAAATGGGTGTAGGCCACTTCTGCCTGCAGTGTGAGCATCGCTTAATTTGACCACAGAGACGAGTTGTGTCCTGTAATCAGCATCACAGGTGTCTTCAATCTTGAAGTCAGTCTGTATTACAGATGAAAAATAGTCACTGTGCTGTTTGGTATCAAGGTGTGTACCACAATGAGCATGGAGCGCAGAAAGTTCCACACAGTCCAGTCGGCTACGAACTCTAATGAAATCTGTTTTCACCTTGTTGTTGACTGCATCCATGCCAGCTCTGAGTCTGTCCTGGAAATATAAAGAGCTGGATGTTTTTGTTTCCTTCCCATTGTCTCTGCAGGATCTTCACTCTGTACAGCAAGTCTCTGCCTCTGGACCTGGCGTGTCGGGTGTGGGACGTGTTCTGCAGGGACGGCGAGGAGTTCCTGTTTCGCACGGCGCTGGGCGTGCTGCGTCTCTTTCAGGACGTTCTCACTTCCATGGACTTCATCCACATGGCTCAGTTGTTGACCAGGCTGCCTGAACTCATCCCGGCTGAGCAGCTCTTCCAGCACATTGCCGCGATCCACATGAACAGCCGCAACAGGAAGTGGGCTCAGGTGGGTGTTTTCTTCTCTACGTTACAGTTTTACTACTGTCGTGTGTTTGTTTTCCATTTTGAAACGTCTACGTCCTCACAGATCTTGCAGACGTTGACAGAACAGAAGAAATCGGCAGCGAGACAGTCCGGCGCTGAAGCACTGAGCTGAGATCAGAGGGGACATCACAGTTCTCTGATCCCTCCATCAGGAAGACCCAGACTGTCACCAGGCCAGAGGGACCTGGAAGAGACAGAGATCCAGTCCATCAAGCTCGGGGACCATTCTTCCTGTAGCTGCTTTTCATAGCGTCGTGTTTCTGCTCTGACCCAAACCAGCATCCCAGAGGACAGTCTGCTACTGGTTTGGCAGCAGTGTGGAAAGAAAAGAAAAACTATCTGAGGCCTTACTTAACTCCAACCCCACTCTTCCTCAAACCTGCTCCTGGTGAGAAGCCCAGCTGTGAACTGGAAACTAGCTGGAAACAGTGAATGTAAGCAGCACTCCCACTTCATGTCAGAACTGGGCTGACGGATCTTCAGAGACACAAGTCGATCCAAATCCTCTGCTCTCAGTTTTCTGAACACTTTAGTTTTGTTTTGGTTGTCAACTTTAATGTTATTTTAAGGACACTCAGGCCGGATGACCAACCCTTCACCCAGGTGTTCTCAAACCAAACTCTACTGGAACCTGCACCAGCACTGTGGTCAGAGAAACACCGGCTCCAATCTGTCACATTCAGCATCACAAGGAAGATGTTTGTCCGAGTCAGATTAGTTTTTAATCATTTCATAAACCTGTTGGAAGGTCTGGGCTTTAAACCAAACAACCTGAACAGTTCGCCTGTAGTTTAAACACCTGGTGACACCTGTAGTTTAAACACCTGGTGACACCTGTAGTTTAAACACCTGGTGACGCCTGTAGTTTAAACGCCCGGTGACACCTGTAGTTTAAACGCCCGGTGACACCTGTAGTTTAAACGCCCGGTGACACCTGTATTTTAAACGCCCGGTGACACCTGTAGTTTAAACGCCCGGTGACGCCTGTAGTTTAAACGCCCGGTGACGCCTGTAGTTTAAACACCCGGTGACGCCTGTAGTTTAAACACCCGGTGACGCCTGTAGTTTAAACGCCCGGTGACGCCTGTAGTTTAAACGCCTGGTGACGCCTGTAGTTTAAACGCCTGGTGACGCCTGTAGTTTAAACGCCCGGTGACGCCTGTAGTTTAAACGCCCGGTGACACCTGTAGTTTAAACGCCCGGTGACACCTGTAGTTTAAACGCCCGGTGACGCCTGTAGTTTAAACGCCCGGTGACGCCTGTAGTTTAAACGCCCGGTGACGCCTGTAGTTTAAACGCCTGGTGACGCCTGTAGTTTAAACGCCTGTTGACACCTGTAGTTTAAACACCCGGTGACACCTGTAATTTAAACACCTGGTGATGTTTGTAGGCTCTTAAAGTATCACATTGTTACATGTATTGAAGGTCTCCATAAAGAGTTTAAATATTTTTATAGTATTTTACGTCAGTGGAACTGGGATGAAGTGTGCAGAGACACACGGCAGATGTTTATATGATGGAGGAACATTTCATCTGTCCTGTCCTCATGTTTGTCTTCATGTCAACTCTTCTGTTTACTTATTTATTATTTATCTAAAAACACCAAAACCTAAACAGGACCTGTTCCTGATGAAAGCTGGAGTTTATCGTGACATGTGGGCCAGAGTCCCTGCAGATGAATCAAACTTTGCAGTTTTATCATTTCCCCTGCTTCTTCACAGCTTCTCGTACTTGTACCAACAGAACAGTCTTAATGTTAAAATTGAGCCGAAATAAGTTTTATTTTCTCTCGACGCTTTGAGTCTGTGTTAAAAACTGCTCCGGTGTGAACGACCAGGATTAGACAGGTTCTACTGCTTTGAAACAAACACCTTCTGACAAATTTAATACATTTATAAATGGCATTTTAAAAGAATAGTTCTGCCTTTTAAATAATAAACATCTTACCTGTTGTAGACGGCTTTTTGAATGATCCCATTTTGAAGAAACTGTTTAATTCTGACCAGACTGACGAGCTAACGACTGGTCCGAGGCAGGTTACAACCAAAGTGGATTGTTTTTAGCAACATGTAGAACTTTAGGACATCCAGGCTGAATATTGACCACGTAAAGCTAAACTCATGGCAGTGTGATTGTTTAAATACTAGGGTTTACTTGAAAAGCTAATAAACTTAGAAATCTGAAGCTGTTTTAAGACGGCGGCGTCTTCCAAAGTGGATCGTTGTCTTAAGTTGGCTCCAGTTTTCAACAGTCGTAGCAGTTCATGCAAACACTTACAATCTTTATACCACGTAACATTTTGCATTTCATGATGACTTTAGTAAAAAAAAAAAAAAACTCAAATTCCTGTCAAACGGGCCCATCGGATGCTATGAAGGTGCTTCATGTTGCTGGTGCTAATGGCTCCTGAAAATAAAATGTTGCGTATAAAAGTACACGATGTAAAGTTAACGGCAGTGAGTACATTTATGAGGTAGCGTTCGCACTAAATGAGATTTTGTGTGTCCCAGCTACGTTGGGTCTAACCGTTGACTTGTTTTCTGTTTCTTCAAACTTTAGTCATTTAAAAAGCAACAGGTAAAATATTATTCGTAACGTTTACACAGAAACCAACTTTAAAACGGCCGACATGTTCTCTTAAGGTTTTATCAGACTGTTGCATTTCTGACAAACTATTTTAACTCGGCCCGTTTAGTTTTATTTATTACACGTAGAAAGTCCTGCTTTAATGCTCACACAAACCTCATGAATCCTCAGCCACGCCCTGCTGTTAAAGGACTGACCGTGTTTGATGAACAATCTTAAAGTTGAACGTTAAAATAGTGTCGTTTAATTGGCTGAGTGGTGCTCCTCTCAGGTTCTGAATGCTTTCTTTAACGCATCGCAAGACTCGGTCAGCCGAAATGACGCGATAAAACCTTTTTATTTATTTTATTTTCAAGGATTTGTTTGAAGTTTCTCTAAACCTTGTGTGAAATGCCAGAGGCCGGCTGCCCTGAAGGTGCGTTCACACTGTAGTGAAGGTGTCACCCTTATCCTGACCGGGAGTGGGCGGAGCCTGTTCCCGCAGCGCCGTTGCATTGTTTTTTATGACCCAAATGGTGAAGAAAGAGTTACAGCTTTACCCTATAAACATATAAAAAGCAACACTTTCCACTTGTTCTTATTTTTTTGCGTTTTGTTTTTGTCTTCGTGAAGTTTGTTAAAAGAAATAAAACTGATCGTATTAGCTGTTGACGTCTGATTGTCAAGCGTTAAATTAGTTTTGTGAAGCTGCTGACTTTTCTTTGCGTTTCAAGTTTTTAATTGTGTTAAATGTCTGCTGATGGACCCTCAACGCTCAAACTGCTCTGGGACCGCAGATGAGTCTGAAACAGGAAGCTCAGTTTTCGGCTCGTATCACCTGAGCTGTTAGTTTTTAGCTTGCAGCGACATTCAGCTCACTCTTCTCAGTGCGCACTTCCCCGTGCTGTGGTCACCCACCGCAGGACTGCAATAATGCTTTTTGCACAAACACATAAGCCTTCTTTTGAACTGTGCCTCACATCGACACTTCCTGCAGTCAGTCATGGTTTAAACTGGTTTCCATCATCTTGTTTTCCCTTCCTTCGTGCTGGTTGCTGTGTTTGGTCTCTGTGTGTTTCTGTGGTGAAAAAGCATTTCCACAAACACCGAGTTGTTACATTGAAGTTAAAGTGGATTTTATTGACACTACCTGTTCATCGATCCACAGCAAACAAAATGAGAATAAAGAAATTAACTTATTACGGTTTAGGAATTGATTTGCTGGATTATTTTCTTGTTTAAGTTGAGCTGTAGAGACCCGTGTACTGTAGAGGACTGATAGACGTGTGGAGACGACGGAGTCATCGTGCAACTGTATCTCACTTGAAATGTATATAAATGGTTTTATTCTAATAAAAATTGAACATCTTAACCCGTTTCCTGTGTTTCTAGTGTACGTGCAAAAAGTTGCTCCTAGTTTGTTTTGTAGTTAATTTATTTTTAGTTTAATGTTCATAGATATGAATAAATGTTTTTTTTTTTATTATTTATTTTTGGGCACTTTTGAATCAGCTGATGATTCACTCTGAACGCCTCATGTTCAGCCGTCCATCGCTAAACGAAACTACCCCACGGATCATGTGGCGTCTCACAGTGTCTCGATGTCTGCTGCAAAAATGAACAAGCGCAAAGAATTCAAGAAGTTAACTATTAAATGTGTTTTAAAATTAGGAAATTTTGTTTTTGCACATGCACCTTCTGAGCATCCATCATGGCTGCAAAAAAAAAAAGAACTAAAGTTCTAAATGCAGATAAACTTGTTGTCCGGAGGAATAATAATCCTGTTGAATATAATCCTGAACTGAACTTTTTTTGAAAATGTGCTGCTTCCATCAAATTCAATACAACTTTATTTTGCCCTAAAAATATATAATCTCTTAGTTTAAACATTTTATATGTTCACTACATTTATTGCGATAAAGAAAAAAATATTGGTTTATTCAGGCAGCACGGTGGCACAACAGGTAGAGCTGCTGCCTCTCAGCGAACAGGTCCCTGGTTCAAACCCCGGTCCAGGGGCGTTCTGGGTGGAGTTTGCATGTTCTCTCCGTGCATGCGTGGGTTTTCTCCAGGTACTCCGGTTTCCTCCCACAGACCAAAAACATGCATGTTAGGCTGATTGGTAACTCTAAATTGTCCCTAGGTGTGAGTGAGAGAGTGAATGTTTGTTTGTCTCGTTTGTCTCTATGTGTCCCTGTGATGGACTTGCGACCTGTCCAGGGTGTACCCCGCCCCTCGCACAGTGATTGCTGGACATGGGCACCAGCGACCCCCGTGACCCAAAATGGAATAAGCGGGTAAAGATAATGGATGGATGGATGGGTTTATTCATTCATTCAACCTTTATTTATACAGGTTAGTCTCATTGAGCCTCGGAGACTCATTTACAAGAGAGACCTGTTTTAACAAAGAGTGATGACAACAGTGGACAACAGAGACTGTATACAATCATAAAAGAAAATGGTATTAAAAAAGGAAACAAAAACGGGTTGTAAAGTGATGTAGAATACTAAAAACAGAAATATGTTGAAATTGTGGTACACCATTGTTGATTGTTAAATAACTGGAGGAAGTACCATTATGTTGAACACATTGCCTCCGGTCTGAAAGATAGTTAGAGAACCAACCAATGGTGTGATCTGAGAAACCGATTTCTGAGAGTTTATGACACAAGATGTTATGATCCACAGTGTCAAAAGCTTTAGACAGGTCTAAGAAAAGTGCAGCACAATAATCCTTAGCATCCAGTGCTTCAACAACGTCATTAAGAACCTTCAGTGAAGCAGTGGTTGTGCTGTGTTGGTTCCTGAAACCAGATTAATGGAGAGGTAAGATGTTAAATGAGTCCAGGTAATTTTTGATTTGAGAGTTTATCAGTTTTTCTAGAACCTTGGCTAAAATGCAGAGTTTAGAGATTGGTCGATAGTTGTTCAGTGAGGTGGGGTCTCCTCCCTTCAGCAAAGGAAGAACAAAGGCTGTTTTCCAAGTGTCTGGGATGGAGTTTTGGTTTAAGATTGAAGATGTGGGTCACAGGGACTGTGATGATATGAGCAGCCAGCCTTAAGAAATAAGGTGGAAGTTCATCTGGACCTGCAGATTTTTTAGAGTCTACACCTTTTAACAATTTGTTAAGCTCACTGACTGAGAACGGGTAAAGAAAAAAGGTGGGATTTTCTGAAGATCGACTTGTGGGAGAGAATTGATTTGTAAATGTTTGGCTTAAAGAAGAAGTAGATGGTTTTCCTTGAGTAACTGTGTCAAATAAAGAACTAGAAGCAACAAAATGTTTGTTGAAACAGTTCAGGATCTCGTGCTTATTTGACACAGGAACAGAGTTAACAAATGGACTGTACTTATATAGCACCTTTCTATCTTATCGAGATACTCTAAGCTCTTTACATCACAATCTGTGCCTCATTCACCCATTCATACAGCACTCTACTAGATCTCTACAAATTTAATGGAACAAATCATTCTAAAGAGACTAATCAGAGCTTTATCACATTCATACACTGATGGGACACACATTGGAGGCAATGAGGGGTTCACTGTCTTGCCTAGGGACACTTTGGCAAGTGACTACTGGTGGATTTGAACCCCCAACTCTTGCATTGGAGGACGACTGCTCTAACCACTCAGCCACAGCCGCCCAACAAGAACTTGTGATGGCAGGTCAGATGAATGAGAGCTGCCAGAGAGAGACTTGATGGTTTTCTAGAATCTTTTAGCCTCATTTAGATTTTTGGTGTTCTGAGATGAGAAATAGTTACGTTTTGCAGCTTTGACGGTATTTGTACATTTATTCCACAGCTGTCAAAATTGTAACCAGTCAGTGTCTGAAACAGATTTTCTGTCTGTAGCCCAAAGCTGATCCCTCCTGTACAGGAGGTCCGCTAATGCAGGAATAAACCATGGGCTGTCTCGTCCTTTTATTCTGAAATGGCAAAAAGGAGCATGTTTATTTACAAAGTAAATGAAACTATTCTGAAAATAATTCCAAGCGGAGTTCACGTCATCAGTTAATAGAATATGATGCCAATCAAAATGAGACAAATTCCAAAGGAAAGCCTGTTCACAAAAACGTTTCAAATGCCTTTTTGTAATTAATCTGGGCTTATAGCGAGGTGGTTTAATGTCCCTGATGACTCGGATAACGCAATAGTCGCTCATATCAACAAAAACACCCAAACCAGGGAATTTATGGGGCGTATTTGTTAAAAAGGCTCCTAAAATTGAAGATTTTTCAGGACAACGCTTGTTAGGTCTGGTGGGGGTGTCAATGATTTGGGTCAGAGACGAGCAACATTCCTTGAACTTATCAGAGTGGGCTCTGTATTTTCCAATCAACACTGAAATCTTTGGCGAGTAGGACGTCATTGAATTGTAAATTTGCTGAAGTCTGACAAAGAGGACAGAGCCCCAGGGGTCGCTGAGGGCTTATGACAGGGCTTTTCAACTGGCGGTCCAGGGGCCAAATCAGGTTCACGGGTGTGCTCAATTCGGCCCACCATTGAGTTCATTTTTAAATAAAACTAGTTTTGAAGCCATGAAACAAACTTAATGAGAATAACTGCTGGACGTCCGGCCCTTGAGCTCTTGGCTTTCAGTAACTGTGGCCCCTGAGCAGTTTAGCTGCTTTATAAATGATGCATTCAGTTGTTATTTCTATTTTACTCACAGTCCCAGCTTTTTTTAAGTCTTTTTTGGAATTGTTATTATGCAAACAAATCCGTTTTACGTGAAAATTAATTTTGCCTCCATGAACTTTGAGCTCGTTTTTGGCACGTCATGTTTTACTGTCTTGCTTGAAGCGTTTTAAATGTGGTAGAAAATGTTTGCAGCGTTTTACCACCACACTTTGAGCTGTGCCTTCGGTCTAACCACAGCTCAGCTACATTTCCTTTGCAAGCTCATCTGCGTTCCATCCAACCAAGTGGAAAGTTTCAGAGTTAAGGTTAAGCTCAGTTCTGTTACTGCATCCACCCCCCACCCCCCTCTTCAACACCTCTGACCTGGGTGTGTTCTTGATTTTATTTGGTGAAGCGTGCAGCAGACTGCTGTTTAAAGGCCTCTCACCTGCAGCCGTGGTGTCACGCTCCATCTTCTCCTCCACAGGATCATCTCCTCATCATGAGGACCACTCACATCCTCCTGCTCTGCATCGTGGGAGCTGCTCTGATCTCTGCAGCTGTCTGCAGCGGTAACATCTGGCTTGTGATGCTTTGTCGAAGTGTTTCTTCTCAAGACACGTTAACGATACATTGGTTGTCTTTCTGTCAGATTTAAAGGCTCCCGACGTTTGTTGCTTTGATCTTTATGACTGGAAGATCAACAAAAAGTTCATAAAGTTCATCAGCTCGTACTTCATGACTGATCCCCGCTGCGCCAAGACAGCAGCCGTGTAAGTTCTGCGAACTGGTTCATGTTTCTCGGCGTGTTACGATAAAATGATTTTCAGTTTTTCTCTTTAGTAAAGTTAGTAAAGTTTATGAATGTTTTGCTTCTTTAATGGGAACAAACCCGTAACTGTGACATTTATTTTGTTACAGTTTGGTCACAGTTAAAGGTCGTCGCATCTGTGTTGATCCGAATCGCCCCTGGGTTAAGAACGTCATTTCTAAACTCGAGGCGTCTTCGTTTTAAAGGCGCCGTGTGTCGTCCTCTTCATCACATCGTGCACAGAACACTGAGCAACATGCAGCAACATCGCTGATTTTCTGTTGTGTGATGAAAGATTTGATTTGTTTCATTATGTTTTATCCGGCAGTATTAAGCTGTAATGTTCCACGTTTTCATTTCTCTGTTTATTGCAAAATAAATGTCTTGTTTCTGATTAATCCTGACAAAATTAAATGCTCAGTCGCTTGAATGTTTGCTTATACAATAAAATCATTAAATACCACATTTTTGTATTTTATGCTATGTTCCAGAAATGTAAAGCACTTTAGGGACTATTTAAAAAAAAAAAAAAAAACACCGTAGTTTTACTTATACTTATAACACATTTACATGTGCAATATACAGTCATTTAAATTGAGCTTAACAATCCATTATTTTTTTCCAGAATTTATTTTTTTTTTTTTTCATTTTATTTCTAGAAACATTTGTTGCATGTTCTTATTTACTGGACAGCAAAACATCTGGATTATTGACCAGCAGTATAGTGTGTGTTGATTCGTTATAGCTTTTTTGTCAAACATTGAAAACTGCTGATTATCCATGCTGCTGATCTCATGCTGCTGATTTATTTTATGTTGCCGTGTTCATTCGTACTCATCTGCTCACACAGACTCAAGTTCGTGCTGCTGTTGTTCTGCGTATTGTTTTTGTACTATTAGCGTATTTCTTAGTTCATGTCTTAGACCTTATTACTGTTTTTCTTTACAGTTTATACTTTTGTTTGATGTAACTGGGACCCTGTGTACACAATTTTGTTCCACCATATGTACCACATGTGGTGCAAATGACGATAAAGAACCTTGACCTTGAAAACATTATATGCCATATCATATTCTCTTGGAATATGTGTTGTGAATTTATCTCAGCTACTACCACACCAATTTTGAGCTCAATATATGTAGAGGACATTTGTGTCTGCAACACCGGTGGACATCCAGGAAATAGATGTGAGACAGTGGACTCCTAGTGTCTGTTTAATGAATGTATGATGGAATGAATGAATATTTTACTTCAAACTATAAATTAATCCACCAAAATACTGTTAAAAGAATCTAAACAATTTTTAAATCAGCGTACCAAATGTATTGAGTAAAGTGTAAGAAAATTCAAGAAATCTGACAAAGGGTGAAAACTTAACCCCTCGTGATTTTTACTTCACATGAACAAAATAAATCTATAATATTCAAAGTAGAGTGATTCATAAAACTAAGCACAACAAAATGAAACAAGCTAAGCATACACTCACAATCCTCATAACAAAAATCACCCAATATAGTCTGATTAATTAAATTTAATGTTTTTTACGATCTAAAAGCTGATTCCTTAGTATTTAACTCCTCACTAAGAATATTCAATAACCCTCAGAACTGAACCCAATCCATAATTAACATCAGTTATGACCGGACAACTTTTAAAGTTAAATAATCCTTGTACTTTGTAAATTAATCTGGTACCATCTTAATTAAAAAAAAGACTAAATATTACCAGGAAACATTATTTACAACGATAAATAAATTCTATTACATAAAAATTCCACATGTAAATTTAACAAACCTGGAGTGAATAAAATGATTGGTATATTAATTTTAAATGACTGTATAATATTCTAGAAGCTCTTTGTCAATGTTGAATTTTGGGGTCTAGATTAGTTTTAAACACATTTTCACAACTTTCAGCAGTCTTCGTTCCATGTTCCCTGTTCAGGGGATGCCACAGCGAGTCATCCATCTCACTGCCCTCTGCGTCTACAACTTTCAACACAACACATGGTAATGCAAGAGACCTATACAATTTACACTTCACATCCAGAAATTCTGATTTCATACAAAAAAAATCGAATTTGCATAACTTTGCTTTAATACAGCCTATATGTGGTTTCCAACAGAGTTTGTGATTTATAATCACAACTAAGACTTTAGTTTAATGTGATCTTTCAACTCCATAAAACTTAGGAGTTATATCCAACTAGTTCCTGCCACCAGCAAAGAGCATACATTTTATTTTATTTTCATGGAGACATCTTGACATCCAACCATTTTGTGACAAATCAGTTCTCAAAATCTCTCTTTTGACTGTCCAAATAACCCAGAGGACATAGGCGTCATAACAATTATAAGGCGTCATAACAATTATATGTGAAGGGGACGTGCCCCCCCCCCACATTTAAAATAATACTCATTTGAAACACCCCACCCCTCACATTGACCATGAAATATTAGTTCACCCATCGCTGATTTTATTTCTTTGTGATCAAATCCATTCCACTTGAATAATAGGAGAATATTCAACCCACTAAAATTCCACTCCGGGTTTTCCTGGTGTCCCATAAAATAACTCTCCACACAGCAGTGTTTTCTCTAGATCACTTGGCCTGGCAGCATGCTCCTCTCTTGGGGGGGGGGGGGGGGGGG